TACAAACGGCTACCCTTGTTACTTTGCGTCCATACTTGTTGCTCGATTTGCCACTACACCTGCAAATGAAACAGCTTATAGACACTTCTACACTCCATCATTATATTTTTTTAAACCCTATCTTTGTCCCATTACTTCACCAGCACTCCTTCCAAACTTCATTCTGCTCTTAAAAATAACACCATCTGCGAGCTACTGCTATTCGTCCAAGGTTCGCCGCTCTTCATCCTTTCACAGAAAATACTTGTGCAAACTATTAATTCTACTTTTCTTATTTCTGGGTGGTATTGAGCTTCATCCTGGCCCAAGTGAAAAGAACTCATACAATTCTGTAGATTTTTCTGGCAGGAAAGGTGTTGGTGTTCTACATGTCAACATCAGAGGGCTTGTTATTAAATTAAGTCAACTAAAACTAGACACGGACATTTTTTGCCAAACAGAAACATTTCCCACTCCTGCCATCAATGACTTGCAGATTGCGATTGACAACTACAACCTTTTTCGGCTTGACCGAGGATCTAAAGGAGGTGGAATTGCCATCTATGTTTGTAATACTATTGCATGTTCACTAGCTCACTCCTTGTTTAAAAAATGTTGATTTGAAGGTCTGGCTCTCAAAATAACTCTCCCAAATAATCAACAGATATTGGTAGTGTGCTGCTATCGACCGCCTAGTGGGAAGGATATTGAAGCTGCATCTGCACTGAGAGAGCTTTTTGGGGGCCTCCATAAAGGTGAAATAGTTTTAGTGGGTGATCTAAATTGGAATTGGCTAAACCCGCCAGCCGTGGCCACAAATTTTACAGATGAATTTAATTTGTTTCAATTAATAAATGTCCCCACAAGACCCAACCTAAAAAAATCCGGGGCAGTCATTTCTGCTTGACGTCCTATTCACAAATGCCCCTCACAATTTCACACTGACTGGTGTTCTGGGTAATAACCTTAGTGATCACTCCTTCATTTTTGGGGTGAGATCATCAGCCAGACCCAAAGCCCCCCCAAATTGGTTGAGAAGCACTCTGAGACACTTCCGCACTCAGGCATTTACTAATGATGTGCTTCACTCGGATATTGACAAGGTCTGTGATATCGCCAACCTGACTACGGCTTGGGAGACCTTCAGGTACACGTTTCTCCAAACTCTTAACAAACATGCTCCGTTGGTTAGATTTAAAACGAAAGGCAACTGCCCACCATGGTTTGATCCTTTGATTAGAAAGCTCATGAAAATTAGGGACAAGGCTTGGGCATGTACTCAGAAAAGTAATTTGGTCAATGACTGGCTAGAATACAGGATTTTAAGGAATAGATGTGTAAAAAAAATACGGCATGCAAAAAATGCCTACTTTTCCTCCACTCTCCTGGAATCACATGGAAATGCCAGGATTTTCTGGAAAACAATCAAATGTATCGAAAAGGCATCCAAAACAATCTGCCCGCTGAGCTTAACCGAAATGGGGAATATTTTTCAGATCCCAAAAAAATAGTTGACAATTTTAACCTTCATTTTTCTGAAGCTGGTAATCTTTTTGATAATGTATTGGGATTCACCCCAGCTCATGCAAATTCCTACACCCCTGTCCAAACATTAAACGAATTTAGTTTCCAGCCAATCCACGAAAGTAATGTTCTGAAACAACTGTCCTACCTCAAAGGGTCAACCTCTACCAGAGCAGATAGTATTCCCATCTTTGCTCTACTATTGGTCACCTAATATACAAACCTATAGCCCATATTTTCAACCTGTCCATCAAAGAAGCATCAGTTCCTCTAGAATGGAAACATTCCTTTGTCCGTCCACTTCACAAAGATGACCTATCTCAATTTTGTCCCGTTTATGAAAATTTTTGAAACATTGACCTACCAAATGAGCAGTTTCCTGTCCACCAACAATCTACTACATCTAAAACAATCTGGGTTCCGAAAAAAATACAGCACCACATTTGTTGCATTAGACTCGCTGAATCACATTTACAGTAGCCTTGATAATAAGCAGTACTGTGCCTGTCTTTTTCTAGACCTGTCCAAAGCTTTTGATACAGTATAGCACAACACCCTGCTTAGTAAACTAAGTTGCCTCGGTTTTTCCGAAAACGCAGTAAAATGGTTACAAAATTACCTCTTTTCTTGCACCCAAACTGTATTTACAGATGGTTGGAGGTCAAACAGTGTTAAGATAAAAGGGGTTCCACAGGGTTCCATCCTTGTCCCCCTTTTGTTCTCTCTTTATGTCAATGACTTGGGCACTGACCTGGATCATTCCAGGGTAAATCTTTTTGCAGATGACACGATACTGATTACTGCTGGCCGCTCTCCGGATGACGTGATTGCTAAGCTACAGGGTGATTTCAACAAACTACATCAGCTAGTTGCTCTTAAACTAGTCCTGAATACCTCCAAAACCAAGGTGCTATGCTTCTCACCAGGACTAAAGCAGGAAGTTATTTTTCCCCAATTACATTCCTTAAATAATTATCAAATAGAGCAAGTCAAAATCTATAAGTATCTTGGGGTCATCCTGGATTCAAAACTGAATTTTGAAGATCACATTGATTATATTGGTAAAAAGACAAAAATAAAAATTGGTTTTCTGTATCGACACAAGCACTGCTTCCCCCCAATGTTCCATTTCGAATTGATAAAAGCTACCATACTGCCTCTGCTTGACTACTGTGACATCGTGTATAAATCAGCCCCAAGTACTGTACTGAAGAAGCTTGATTCCATCTATCACTCGGTCTTAAGATTTACATTGAACTGCCCATATAGGACTCACCACTGTGATCTCTACATTGGGTCAAACTTAACATCTCTTAATGTTCGACGGCTTGTGCACCAGATCTTATTTATTCACGATGTACTTACAAAAAAATCCGCAGACTACCTGCTGGATCCCCTCTCTGTTTCAAAGAACAAATTTGACCTCAGGTCTTCGCTCATTTACCAGCTTCACATTCTCTATTGCCCTACAAAAACTGGAGGAAGGGTCTTTGCTATTGATGCCCCCAGGGTCTGGAATGCTATTGCCAATAAGCTGCAACTTGAATCGCTACCAATGAGATCTTCTCTCAAAACTGCTCTAGAGGAGTTGTACACCCCTAGCTGCCACTGCTATTCATTGGCGTAAAATAAAATAAAAAATGTTGCTCCGGATGACGCTGCAAAGTATCATCTGTATTTAGATTTGATCTTAAAGGTGCATTGAAAAATGTGATACTCCGACTGATGCTTCTGTTGTTGTGGAGTAACTCATGCAGCCAGCTATGGCTCTAGGATTTGGTGTTACATGTTATTTATGTAGTTTATTGTAAAAAATTCGGTCACAGTCCCTATGATCATTGTTACATTGCAATTATGGCTTTATTTTTTGGTGATTTCGAAAGGTTTTTTGGTTTGGAGATGTTTGTTTTGTTGTAGTACGGAGTTAGACTGATGGTGTACGGTGCTTTTTCAGGAATATTTTGCTTTTTCATGGATTTTCTGTTTGCACAGTCAGTCACTTTAAGATGTTTTTCTTGTTCGTGTTTTTGTTTTTTGTTTGTTGAGGCTGCACCCGATTCAAGAGCCGAATGGCTCACAGGGCTATACCAAAATAAATAAACTGAACTGAAACTGAACTGAACGAGTTCTGATCCTTGCAAGACATTAATAAGTCATATGCTATTGTTGTAATCTACAGACTTGATTAATTTGTGTAAAGCACACACAAAATGTAAAAACAAATATTTTCAAAACAAAATGTGTTGGCAGATCTGGGAGGTCGCATGTCTTCTGTGCAGCAGTTGCGGAATATTGCAGAGGAAAGAAGCGTTGGTGTCGTGTGGTGGCATCAATGGCTTTGGCCATGATGACACATTCAGCTTGACACACAAAAATGTAAGCAATATAGTCACCGCCATTCTGAAACCCGAAAAGCCACAAGATTCGCCCTCCAGCTACAGGCCAATATCCCTCTGGCCCTCCACCTCCAATCTGATGGAACGTACCAAGCAATGCCTGCTAGATTGCCATTGTCGCCCCCCAACTACCTCCCGAACAATCCAGATTTCGAACTGACCTTAGCTGCTGCAAACGGATCGTTGCGTTCACAACCCTCAGAAGCTGGTTTTCAATGTCAACAGAAAACTGGTACAGCAATGATGTTTTACCTTTCTGCTGCCTACCGTCACCGTTTTGGCATCATGGCCTGCTGTGGAAGATGACCAAAATCATCAGATGGTGTTCTATTGTACAGTACACCGAATCGACACGATGCTCAGTAACCGTACTTTCAGAGTACACCTTGTTGATATACACAGCCGCAAGATATTATGAACAGTGGGCCTCCCTCAAGGCTCGGTACGAGCAACATGACTTTTTAACACGGGACCACGCATTCTACGATAGGCGTGGTCCCGTGTGGGTGCTGTCGCTTCTGTTCAAGCAATACACATGTCCATAATCATTATTAACCAGTCAGGTGGCTCAGCGATAGAGCAAGCAGCTCGCAAGCGTAAAGGTTGTGAGTTAAAATCCTGGTTTGAGGATTGCCTCAGCCCTTCATCCCTCCGATACAATGAGTACCAATTTATCGGGAAGTCAGCAGTGCCTGTCCTCTTGAAATACTTGCACCCGGCATAGAAATGTGGAGTTTAAACCACTGACCCAGGGCTGCAAACATTAATAGTGCCTAAATCCTCATTTGACCAGAACATGCTTTAACTTTATTGAAATTTGAGTCAACCCTTAACCTGCACGGCCAAGTACATGTGTCCACTATGGTTCAGTCTAGTAATAGAGCCTCCCTGGGCTGAGGTGCGTGCTGGGAGAGACCGCGGGAGCGTTAGGTGTCACTGGGGCGAGCGGGGCTCACGGGCAGCCTGAACTCCACGTGCTCCTGTGCCAGCAACAGCAGGAACCGGCCACACGTGCTCGTCGTGGAAGCCGCCATGTTGACGAGTGACGCCATCGCATATTTTTGCTAAAACCGATGACGTCATCAGCGAGCGCGGCCCTCCAGCGACCGTCGCGCGCCCGTTGCCGAGAAAACGCCCCGATCATGGCGCTATGACGTTCACAAAATGTGGCGGATGTCGTCACCAGCAAGCGACGCAGTGACGTCATCACGGCTCGTCTGCCCGGCGGCTTCACGCAGTAGCAACGAGGTTCGGCTCCGGGTTTCAATTAACTCAAACTAAACAATCGCTACCACTACGTTCTGATTATTGCTAAGCGCGCTATAGTCTTTCCGTTAAGGCATGACTTTGTTGCGTAAAATGTACCGCCTCCCAAGTAAAAACGAGGCAAATATGAGTACCGATTTTTGGGAAGTCGGTACACACAGAAGTGGCCGTTTTTTAAATACCTTGCTACCGTTATGGGAATGTGGCATCGTCGTTGCTGACTCAAGGCAACTTGGCCCGTTATGTTGTGATACGATGTGTGGATTTTATGCGTTGGGACGTCTGACCGCTGTCACGGATGTGCAGTCGTGCTGGGTAGTGATGCATTGCGGAAGAGATCCGTCGCGTACAGTTTGGGCCTTGCACATTTTTGGAGCGATGCAATTTAAAAATCATAAACCATGGGCCCCAACCATAATCCATTGGCCCCTGACCAAAAAAATACACTTGTTGGTGCCACCTTTAACCGTAAAAGGAAATTATGAAATAACCTTATTTAAGTATTTTACCGCATACTCCACTTTTACGATCCACACAGAAGCTCGTATTACTAAATGTCCGCCTCTAGTGGTACCGAATTCTGCTTTAGCTCATGGACTACGTATTAGGAATGTGATTTATATATATTTTAATCTGAGACGCATAAAGCAGATTAAAAACAAGCTCTGATAATATATGCAGAGCATGTTTTTTTGCATGTTCACCACAAGTACGTGTGGTTAATGCAACCAATTCCTTGAAAAAGGATTCTGTTTGGTGTTTAAACATCTTAACACCTATATTCTTGGTTCTTTCGGTAAAGTCACGTAGAAGGGAAACAAAATATAAAACAATAAAATTCTCACGACGTTTCGACTGCAACACAAGCAATCATCATCAGGTGTGAAAACCACAGCAAGAAAATTTGAAAAAAGTGGCGTTTTTTTATTTTCTTGCTGTGGGTTTCACACCTGATGATTGCTTGTGTTGCAGTCGAAACGTCGTGAGAATTTTATTGTTTAATATATATTTACTTTCCCTTCTACGTGACTTTACCGAAAGAAACAAGAATATGAATCCCTGCAGTCACGAAAGCTTTAAATCAAAATCTTAACACCTGTTTTATTGCCAGAAAAGGTGAAACATATATCGTATTGGATGGCCTGCGACACAAATATATCTACTTATATACAACAGCAGATTTTTTCAGTGGAACTGTATGAGCCCCCGACTCGGGTTCAAATTGAGCACCGCCCGTTGCTCATTTGAGCAGGCAGACGTTTTTGAATGACCTGTAAATTCCTCTGTGGCCTTGCTAAGACAACTTGAGGCCCAAGATTCCTCTCGATGGCGGGGCTCGAGCTGCTGTTCGAGGGCGCGGCAGGAAGCGTGACGTCTCCCTCAGACGCGCTGCTTTGCTTGCTGCACTGGGAGCTGGTCACAGCTGGGTACAAGTGCAGGGGGCTCGGCGAACAGGTGAAAACCGCCTCCCAACCAACCCCTTTCCTCTTGTCATTATCGCCCCCATCAGTAACAGCGCCGCACTCATGACCAGCGTAATCACAATTAATAACGGCTCCAGTGATGTCTTTCGGGGACCGGAAGTTGTTCATTCCTCTTTTTGACTTAAATATTTCGTGACTGCAGGAATTCATATTCTTGGTTCTTTCGGTAAAGTCACGTAGATAGAAAATAAAAACCAAAATAAAATTTTAATAAAAAATAAATTAAAAATACAAGCAAAAACCACGACGTTTCGAACGCAACACAAGCGGTCTTCATCAGGCGGAGAAAAAAGAGGGGCAAACCTCCAAATGCAATTGCTTATAAGGGCTTTCAAAGTGAGCAAAGCTGTGCGGCGTAAACAGCATGGGCGGGGCAGCCAGCGCTAATGTCGGAGCAAAGGACCAGAAGTACAAGCAAAGCCAGTGCGTTAGACAATGGGGGGAGGGAGGGGGCAGAGACAGGGGGAGAGAGGGGGGGGTGAAGGTGAGGGCGCAGTCCAAGTGTGTTAGACAATGGGGGGAGGGGGTAGAGATAGGGGGAGAGAGGGAGGTAGAGATGGGGGGGGGGCATTCCACCTCACTACACCCATTCACACTGATGACGGTAGAGGTTGACAAGAAAACACAAATCAAGTCATGACCCAAAGTGGTTGATGACATCTTTCCAATGATTGCTGAGTTTAAAACCGTCGTCTGGGTTGAAATTGTGTCTGTAAATGGATGGCTTCGTGAACGAATCTTTGTTGATAGCCAGTCGGCTTGCAAAGTGCCATCATCTTAGAGAAATACATTTCATGTGAGCCAGCCGCATTAAATTAATGATCAGCCACGGCAGAAGTGTTGGTCCTGCCGTGTTTCAGATCTGCCTTATGTTCACGAACACGGTCCGAGACATGTCATTTAATTTCCCCAATGTGACTCCTGCCACAGATACAGCTTAGTTTGTAGACGCCGGGATATTGCATGTCAGGAATCTTGTCCTTCACAGATGGGATCAGTTTACGAATTTTATGCACTGTGTTAAATCGGATCTGGATCTTGTGTTTGTTCAATATTTTGGAAATATTTTTGGTTATCCCTGCTATGTAACGCAAGGTGATGGTTTTGATTGGATCTTCAGATGGCTCCTTCCTCATGGGTGGGGTGATGGCTTTGCGGATTGTGTAGTAAATATCCATTCGCCATGAGAGCTTGGTGTACGTCTTTGAGTTCACTGGTTAGGTGTTCATGGTCGGAGATACATTGAGCTCTATGGTGTAGCGTTTTGATGAGGGAATTCTTCTGGGATGGATGGTGGTGGGAATCAGGTTTTAGGTAGGCATCAATATGGGTTAATTTCCTGTAAACAAAATGGCTCATTGAGCCATCTAGTCTCTTTTTTATTAGGACATCCAAGAAAGGTAGCATGCCATCCTTTTCTACCTCCATGGTGAATTTGATGGCTGGGTGTATAGAATTGATGTGGTTGAGAAATTGTTTCAGAGCCGGTCGGCCATGTGGCCGGATGACAAACGTGTCATCCACGTACCTCTTCCACAAGGATGGGCTTAGAGTGGATGCCTGGATGACGTCCGTCTCACATTTTTCCATGAAAATGTTGGCCACAACCGGAGATAAGGGAGAACCCATTGGGGTGCCTTCAGTTTGTTTGTAGAATGTTGCACCCCAGGTGAAGTATGTATTGGTGAGGCAGTGTCTTACCAGGGCTGGTACATCAGCATTCAATCCTTGTTGGACCAAATAATCAATTATTGCAGCGGTTTTGGGCACAGGAACTTTGGTGAACAAAGAAACTACATCGAAACTCACGAGCAAATCACCTGGGGACAGTGAGATGTCTTTAATTGACAATACCAGGTGAGCCGAGTTAAGAACAAAAGAGGTGGTCTGACCATTGAATGGCTGCAAGGTCTCAGATATCGGGCCAGTTTGTAGGTGGGTGAGCCAATGGTGTAGACGATGGGACAAAGGGGTATACCTTCTTTATGGATTTTTGGTAGGCCATATGTCTGGGTGGTCGAGCAGCAGAGGGTTTTAAGGAAACCCGTTTGGTCTGTTCAATTAATGAAGCTGAATCAGTGATGATACTGTTCGTTTTTGTAACGAGACAGTTGGTGGGATCTCTTTTAATTTTAGTGTATAGCTACCATCATTAAGTAGGTCCTGAATTTTATTGTACACGTTTTTTTTATCAATGATGACTGTGGCATTGCCCTTGACGGCTGAGAGGATGACGATATCTTCCCTCTTTTTTTAATTGAGATAACTCAAAATGCTCCTCCTTACTGATGTTGCTGACTGGTATCTTAGCGCCTTTGAGGGTTGCAGTGATTTCAGATCTTGCCACGTCTGCAGCGATGTGTCCCAAACCCTTAAGAGCTACATCGACCTGAGCAATAATGTTATCCACAGGTATGTGTTTGGGGGGTGACTGCGACTTTACCGAAAGAACCAAGAATATGTATTCCTCGTTTGTTTTAGGTAAAACACAGCGCTCGGGTCTCCCTCTTCTGGTTCTCTTAAGTAGTGACAGCCTGTAAGTATGTAACTTTGCACCAGCGCACCTGGATGCAATAATGACATACAGTTTGAGACCAATGTTGGTTGGCAATAGCCACCCTCATGTGTTTTTTTACTTAAGACTATTTCACTGCTATTCAACGAGTGGTGACCAAGGGAAGACCTAAAAGCAGATAGTGGGATGCTATGAGGGCCGAGGATAAAAAGCATTGGCAAGGTGCAGTGGCAATCGACGGCTTTGGCCTTGATGACGTCTTGGTCTTGATTCAAAAACACTTCTCTGTTATCATTTGCAATGCTCATTACTCATTTGTGTCGCTTGAATTTTTTTCTTTTGTTATTCAGCAGTTTTGGCAGACTGAATTATAGGATATATGCACATATCACAGTGCTCCTGAGGCTGGTTGATATGTTCTTCATAATATACCGTGTTGAATATTCTGGTTGCACAACAAGATGATAAATGTTCTGGTGTCATGGCTTGTGGTGAGTACATTTCCATGATTTCATTTTGCAGGCTGGTGAAAGTGACAAGAACAGTGAATTGCTTCCACAAGGATGGAATGACGTCAAAGATGTTTACACACTGAGATATGCGTCTAATGACCGCTCATTACTTTTAAAGGTCATCCCCATTGAGAGTGAAGCTATTATCAATTTAATGGCAAGTACTTCCATCCCATTTGTACAGCTCTATTCATCGAGTAATTTATAGTACAATGCTTTTACTAAAAACTAAAATGTAAGCAATGTATGTTTCAGTGAAAAACCCACAAAATTATTGTCTAAATGTACCCTGACATTCTGTAATACTCCTAGACATTTTTAGCAAGCCGCAATTTGGCAACAAGTAAACAGTAATTTTAAAGGATTGCGTGGTCTTTGTCAAGCCTGGCATGTTTTTAAATTTCTTTACAATACAATTGGTCTTCTCTGTATGGGATAGATTTATATTTTGTTTAGGTGTTTTGTTGTCTTTTTGCAGGATACAAAAACTGAACAGGTAGTTGATTTAACATTGAAGCTGACTGAGTACATTGATGAGGACAATCTCCAAGATTTTGAAAGGTAACAAACAGTTCTGCATTTCGTGCCGGAAAATATCCTGCAATAAAAGTTAATAAGAGTTGTACAATGACCGATATGTAATGTTTAAACATCGTCCAATTTGAAGCAATTTCTTCCATGTATGTGTTTTCCTTGATTATTTAACAAATTTACTTTGTTTTCACTGGATTGGTACATGTGTAGTGACATCGCGGATGTCACTGTGGTGCCAGCCATAGAGAGGCACGGCGTACGATGTACTCACATCACGGACATCACGTGTGTAGCGACATCGTGGATGTCAGTGGGTAATGCCGGCTCTAATGAGGTACGGCGTGCGATGTACTCACATCACGGACACCCTGTACATGTGGGTGTAGTACCAGCCCTACAGGGGCTCGGTGAGCGCTTACAGAGAGCGCTGAGTGGCACCACGCTCGGTGTGCAGTGCTGTCCCCTACAGGAGGGGGTGTGAGGGTGCCGGCCATGAATGGGGTTAATGTAGGCCATGGCACTCTGGTTGACCCAGGAAGGCACGTGACGGGTAAAGTCTACACAGGGGCCCCAAGCGGGGGCTAGGGGTGGTCACATGTCGGGCGAGATCCTGCTAAAGGATTCGAGAAGGTGGTACTGGCCAATGGCGGGGCCAGCCACGACCAGTGAGGATATAAACCTGGTCCCCAGAGGGACCGGGGTTCAGCGTTGCTGTTGTTATCCTGAAGATCTGCCTTCTACGTTCTACATCCGAGAAGAGTCGCCAACATGTGGACCTGGACCCAAGCCGGGGTCCTGTCCGTTGTAGCTACTCCCAGTGTAATTAGTGTAGTTAGCCTGGTGGTCCACCACCATAGGTTGTTATCTGGTAAAGGGGCAGTTACCCCTTTTTGTTGGTATCAATAAATGTGTTGTCTCCAAAGAGTATGTCTGTGACTCAGTTGAACTCACTACACATGTATGCATTATTGCCAAAACACCCTTCGCATTCATTTGCATTGTATTGACACCTATCCTTGCCTGTTTACATGCATATGCAATCTCCCTAAATCCATGTTTAAATTTGTGTAACTTCATTTTCCATGGACAGTTTTAAAGTAATTTGTCTTAACCAACTTTCATCACAGGAAATATATGCAACTTAAATTAATTCATGTTTGTGCAGTTTCTCTTTTGTAATTGGGTAGTTTTGCTCTAATTTCTATTTGGTGGGTTTTTCTCTGAATTCCTTTTAATGTTTTGGTGTACCTTTGTTTTATGTTATTGCTTTTGTTATTTTGGTGACCCAAGTCACTTGCAAATGACACTATCCATTGTCTCTTGGGTCCTTACCGGGTTAAACAATGCGCTTGAAACTTCAGAAACTTGCTGTTTTTTATAACATCCAGAGTTTTCAAAAATCAAGATGGTCTCCGCAACTTGGTGGCCAGAGAACTTGTGGAGCCACTGGGAGGAAGAGAGCAGAGGCGGCAACAGGCCAAAGCCTCAAGTTCACAGCAGGAGGGCAGTCGCATTGACCCCCTCAGAGATTACGGACCTCCAAAGAACCTTCCACATGGCTTCCGGCCACCAAGACAACCTGACTGGTCAGTGCTTATTACCATGATACAATACTCTTTGGTTCTTTCAGTAAAGTCACGTAGGTAGAAAAATAAAATGAAACAAAAAATAATATTTTTGATTTAAAGCTTTCGTGACTGCAGTAATTCATATTCTTAGCTCTTTCGGTAAAGTCACGTTGAAGGGAAACAATAAAATAATAAAATATATATAAAACAATAAAAATTCTCACGACGTTTCGACCATAACACAAACGGTCGTCATCAGGTGTGTCGGTTTGCATACATTTATTTATTTTTAAACGGTGTATTTATAAAAAACGTCAGCACCACGCGCAGCGATTTGGCAATTTATTTAGAAGGACGAGTCCATCTATGTTCTGAAAAGAGGAGGGGGGAGACGAAAAATGAATGTATGCTGTCTGAAAGCCACTGTAAGCGTGAACAATCAATTAAGACCTGAAATGGTTAATCAAATCTTTCCAATTATTGCTAAGCCAGAATCCATCTTCTCGGTTGAACACAAAGCAGACCTTAAACACGGTAGGACCAACACCTCGGCCGTGGCAGATCATTGTTATAATTCAGTAGGCTCACATGACATTGACTTTTCCAAGACAGAGGTTCTTTGTAAGCCATCTGGCTACCATGAGAGATTCGTTCATGAGGCTATCCACATATACAAGCACAGAGACAATTTCAACCGAGAAGATGGATTCTGGCTTAGCAATCATTGGAAAGATTTGATTAACCATTTCAGGTCTTATTTGATTGTTCACGCTTACAGTGGCTTTCAGACAGCATACATTCATTTTTCGTCTCCCCCCTCCTCTTTTCAGAACATAGATGGACTCGTCCTTCTAAATAAACTGCCAAATCGCTGCGCGTGGCGCTGACGTTTTTGTAAATAAATACACCGTTTAAAAAAAAATATATGCAAACCGACACACCTGATGACGACCGTTTGTGTTATGGTCGAAACGTGAGAATTTTTATTGTTTTATATATATTTTATTATTTTATTGTTTCCCTTCAACGTGACTTTACCGAAAGAGCTAAGAATATAAAAAAAATATATATCACGACGTTTCGATCGCAACACAAGCGGTCGTCCTCAGGCGGAAAAAATAATCCAGCAGTGGAACTGCTGAACCAGCGAGAGAGCTGTTACAACAAGAGGTTATTTATATGGCGATGGTCAAGCAAGCGGGGTCTGAGCTGGAAAGGAATTTCATCCCTGGACGCAAGCACGTCAGTTGTGTTAATGGGGGAGATTAGGGAGAGAGATTAGCATGAAATGAACTTCCATCACCGCATAAGAGTATCGTCGCATATGTGAACCACAGCGGTGTTAATGGGAGATTAGCACTATGTTGATGGGAGAGATTAGGCAGGGAGATTAGGGGGATTAGCAAGTTAATGTCATGTCTATGTGTAACACATAGCTTGTTGACCAATGGTAATCTTTTCCCATGAAAAAATAGCTATCTACTAATTGTGTGCTTTTTGCAGGTCAGATCCTGTGAACCCATTTACAGTAGGTGGAGCTGACCTGGACCCATTTGGGTAAGATGCTTAGCCAGAAAGTGTGTTTTGTTTTGATTACTGATTTTCTGATTCGATGACTAGTTCATTCGCACCTCCGATTAGCACGGTTGGCTACATACGGTGAAAAAGAAGTTCAACATACGTACACTATTCCAGTAGGTAACAAGACATGCTTGGCTTTCTATATATGCAAAAGAATGTACGTGATCTAACCCAAAAAAACCTGTATTATGGATATTGGTCATGAAGGCCTATGCGTTGAACATAAAAAAAACGTTGTTTAGAGGTGGAGAACTAAGAGCAAAAACTAAATGAATTGTATACAAATTAAAAAAGGTCATTGGCTGACACATGTATTTGTTTTGTCGGAACATAAGTGGTGGAACATTTTTGCTTGCACTTTTTTGTAAACTTGCCCTGTGCTTTTTAATGCAGACGTGGCCAAGGTGGAATGTTGATGGACCCCAGGCACCGTGGTCCCAGACCTCGGTTTCCTGGTCAGCTACCCCTGGGCTCTGTGCCTCCCGGCGCTCGGTTTGACCCCATCGGTCCCTATGGCACCCACGGCGGGTGAGTTTTCTTCAGGTCCTGTCCATCTGCTCAATTGTGACATTGTTCTGTATGAAGTAACTATATTGTGCTCTATTGTCTGCCAATTTCACAACTTTATTCTTGACAATGCCCTCTGTTCTATATCTCCTTTCCTAATATCAAGCCAAGACATTCTGACTGCCTATATTGTTCAATCCTTGTATATTCTGATGTACATCACCATGTTTGGTATTCTGTCAGGATCCATTCTTGAGACATGTCCAAACCATTTGTCTCATTTCTTGGATCTGTTGTTTTTCCTTGTGCTTATCATTTTATTATCTTCATTTCTTATTTTGGGACACCGAGAATCCAAAGATTCCCCTCTACCAACTTATACCTGCAGTCTGCATCTTTTGTTCATCTGCTTTCCTCAGACTCAAATATTCTAATCCATATAATAGTATCGGCAGAATCATGGTTTCGTATATACTTAGATTGTTATCATGTCACATGCCAATGCATACTTTAGCTGGCTCACGTCTCATCAACTCATCCATCAAGTACTCATGAAAGCAGCCACTTGACATTTCCCAATATTCCAATGTGAGGTGCATAATAAATAGTAAATGTAAAAACAATGTTAATTATGTTTTATAGATGACATGACATAGGCTTCATGAGAATGCCCATTCTTACATCATGTTATGGGATTGTAAATTAATGTACAGAAGGGTTTGTACATATATTCAATCCACTGCTGCATGAGGGCTTCCGCATGCTGTGCAGGTTGTAGGAGTTATTTGTCTATTCTTCACTATGCTGATCTGAAGGTTGGTGAAGACGGTGAACATAGATCTTGGAGCATAGCACAGTACAACAATGGATTTTTCTTCACTGTCCAATAAATAATGCTAACCTAAGGATGCCTACAGCACATGTTTATACATACTGGTTGCCAATGCAAGCACTATCCAGGGTCAACCCTGTTTAACTTTTATGCCCTAACAAGATTGGGTACATAACAGGTGATTTGATCAGAGGCATATCAAGTTTGTGAAGTGCTCATGTATTTAATATGCAATTCATGTGAAACTAATTCACATTTATATGTGTACATCCAAAACAGAACAAATAAAGACTCATGTTATTTTGCATATGTTACTTTAATCTTGCACAATGCATGTGTGTCGACATTTGTGTCCACATTTGCTTGAGTAAACATTTTACCGATGGATGCTAGGATCAGGTTAAAACAGTGACATCAGCTAAGTCTAATTTAGTATATTTAATTGTAAACATCCCCTAGTCTCTTCCTTGTTACGATCGTATTGTTAGTTATATTCATTGCAGACCAATATAGTCTTTCTCAAGTTTGGTCACTATGTTATTTGTTCTAAGAACACATTGGCTGCTTTTATATGTGTAGAGAGCATGGGGCAACTGTAAGTGTGGCTCTTAAGTGCAGCTATGTATTTTGCTCAATCTTACCCTAATAATATGTACAGTGCTTATAATTGTCATCCAAATGGGTGGTGTTTTGCGAGGCCTTATTTCTAAACCACGATCTGCACGTGTGATGTGGAAACTGCAGTGGTCTGTTTCTAAAAAAACACAATGTCCCCAGCATTAGGTCACTGCTAAGTGCTGGCAGATGGACTAAAGTAAATATTTGAACAGCAGGGGCACATAGCTTTTACGAACTTACTGTTTGTAATTAACTAAATTTGGTCCATGGCTGAACCCATTCCACCTCTGGATATATATTCTCTTTTTAAATAAGCACTTTCGTGTTTACAAATTACATGATAACAGCCTTTGTAGCTGTGAATGGGGAAAAATATAATGTGTAATATTTTGTGTTTTTATTTTCAGGCCGGATCCAGACCACCTGCCTCCCCCCAACTATGATGATATGTTCATGTAGCACAACGTGTACATCTGGAATTACCTGCAAACGCAATACACTGCAGTGCTCTTTTAGATCAATCTGATCTTACAAACTTCATGCAACTGAAAAGCACTTAATGATAGAAAAAGATGTGCAGTCTTGTTTAAATGTCGAATTTGTTCAATCAAATTGTACTTTAGTTCATATTTTTCGTTGCTTGATAATTATTTGCTATTGGTGTAAGTGCTTATCCCAACGTAAAATAGTAAAGATATATGGTCTCATGCTATTTCTGTCCAGTCCATGTTCTTTGCAGTCACACTTGTTCCATATGCCTACCTTTGTATTGCGTTACATTACAACATTTAAATACAGTGCATCTAAATGCATTTGACACTCAACAAGGAACGACTTCACTGACGTTTCGTAGAACTAAACTAAGCACCTTAAAAGTTAGTTTTGGTAGTTATATAACTTGTAGTCACTCTGTATATGATTCAAGATTCAATATCAATAACTTAATATGAAGTCATATAGCCAATACAATACTATACAAATTACAAAAAAAATGTTAAATCTTAAAGTGCCATACATTAATGCATGTTGTCATGGTATAAACAGGTCAACAAACCCATTGTCACATTTTGCCATTACTGGATCATTAAACTTACATTTTTTCTACAACTGGTATATGTAAGAAATTATTAATTTATTAAATATTTTACTCCAGTTCTTGTTTCATTTATGCCATTTCCATAAATTATTTCCAAATTGATGAAAGCATGCTGGAATAAGTTCACTTAATTTCAATTAAATCTCTTAATTTATCATGAGACTTTTCAATAGAGACAAAAACGTGGCCTCTAAGTTAACATATGCATAACATTCTCCAGTGTATAATTTTATTTTTACTAATTTTGGAGTAAAACATTTGACAGTGGCAATCTGTTGTTAGATAAAAAAAAAACATCAAATATTTTCCAAATGAGCTATGGTTTACAGTTCCATTTTCTTAAAGAAATATGTTTATCGGTATGTTTTTACAAGTGATAATCATAGCCTGGCCATGTCATTGGATAGGGCTGTCTCATTGTGAATGTTTATATTTTAGGTGTATTATCCACTGTACAGCATCCAATTTGTAAGTCCTAAACTTAACCCAAGCGTGTTTGGTATTTGTGTCAAAATATTACCACACATTGTCTTATGTTTCAGAAATGGTCATGTCAGCCAACGCGCAAATTTAAGGTCAGGTCATCGTGAGACAACAACTTCATTGCCATATCAGAAACTTCCAAACATCAGTGCTTCTAATTGAACCAAATCTGCACTTGAATAGTTCAGACATGTTCATGTTTAACCTACTCTGTCCCCATACTGGTAAATGGAATATAACATGTTAAAATCCAATTTAACAAATATATTGGGAAATGCATTTGTGCTTACAAAAGAATGAAAAGTTGAAATTTGGCAAAGCCAAAGTCAAGTTGATTATGGAGCAGAAACCAAAGAACAATTATCCATACATTTGTGCAATTAAATTAGCCGTCTTCACTTTTACATAGCAGTTGTGGAAACATCTTAATATTTGCATTTTTCCCCACTTTGGACCATGTGGATATATTCTTTCATGCCAAAGGTATTTGCTCTTCAAAGTATTTCCTTCAGATAGGCAACTTGTTGCATGTTAAGAGATACAACTGATAACATATCTATAAAATGTCTCGTTATCAAGACTGATGTTATAAACATGTTTAAAAATTACACTAACGGTGTAAATGTCATGATCAATTTCATTGTGTTTTGTCACATGCTTAATGACTATTTAGCAGCGAGCTTGACCTCAGTGATTTGTCAGGAGTTTGCCACGCGAGGGTGCGTTTTGTACAGGGCTTGCCATTAAAATTAGGGCATGGAGTTGCGACGGCTGCGTGCGCGTGGGAAGCCAGGCCATGGGATGGGTTCGCCGTCCCCAAAAGATGAGGCGTAGGAGATGTCGCTTTGGCTGCCACCACTTTCGCTGCCGTTGTCCTCACCAAGACGCAGCTCCTGTAGGCCCAGGTGAAGTTCCCGCAGCTGTTGCAGAAGCGCCTTGTCCTGCAGACGCAACTCCACCTACAATGCGAGCAAATGCACCACGTTGGATCACATGGACCTCTGTATACAGGAAAATGCATTCCAAAAGACAACTCGTTTAGATACGTGGTGGAGTGGCATGGCCCAGCGGTTGCACATTTGCTGCTTGTTATGTTTCGCCAGGTGATGGTGGCGGCGCACGCCTGTAATCCAGCAGTGGAGGGGAGAGTTGGTGGATCACAAATGACTTGAAACTCCCTTTCCCATGAGCGTCAAGGTGCTGGTGCCCAAGCTCGTATGGGATATTGTTGCACCGACGCACACATAAGTTTTCTACGGGTGCTCCCGTGTTCTTCCACTCATTAATTGGCTGCAGACCTCTTACTATATCGGCATCTCCATGTTTGCGGATTGCGCAGTGCAGTTTAGATGAATGACGGTATCTAAAAACGCCCATTATTGATTCTAAATACAGGCTGCCCTAGGTAATGCTGTGTGCATATTGACCATTCAATACGATGCACCGCATGCTTCACAGTCGATGTTAAAGATCTCATGACAAATTTGAAAAATTACACACCAGATCACAAAATTAGAAAATTTCTGAAGTAAATAAATGTAATAAATAAAATATACACCTAAGCTGCATGTGTTCGGTTGCCCTGAACCGTTTTAAATTATTAAAACCAATTTGGTTTGGTTGCGACTTTAGTAAGAGCCTGTTGAAGTGCTTTATTAATTTGATATATAGTTACAAAGTGACAGCAATGTTTCATAATGGAATTTTACGTTTATTTTGACCTTTTAAAATAATGGTATCCCCACAGAGGACAAGAATAACAAAAATCACTAAATCATGCATGGATTTACACAAGCATCCAACAACTGTATCCCCATGCCCACAAGGGCTGCTTGTTGTGATGGCCATTGCATGTTAGGTAAATAATATTACATTGAGTCACTTTTAAACCTTAGTTTAATTTCCTCATTACGAATAACTCACTTGTGTATAGCTTTGTGGCTACAGTGAATATGTTGTTGGTGGGGACCCATAACCTGACAACACTGAGGTACCTGCTTGATTAAAAGGTATAGCTTTGAAGCCTCCATTATTTTACAGGTGTAATGACATGACACCTGCTGACTGGGAAAGGGAAGCACGGGTACGGGCACCGCTAAGATAACATCCAATCGGAAAGGGAGAGGTATCTGGCGCAGAGGTAATAGGCGAGGTTGGCCGAGATGCTCCGGGCATGGGGAGATAGCGCGGGCGGACCGGGGCTCGGGGTTCGGGTGTGGATTCTTGGGTCCGGACTTCGTCGCTGCTCGCCGCCATCTCTCTCGCCCATCCGGCCACGTGGAAGATCTGCGGGGTTTCCATCGCCATCCTCGTCATGCTGTCAACCAGTGGTGTAGCCGAGTGAGAGCGGTGGGACCACGCCGAGTGATCGGCTGTGTCTCGCTAATAGAGACGTTAATATCTACAGTGAGGGAAAAAAGTATTTGATCCCCTGCTGATTTTGTACGTTTGCCCACGGACAAAGAAATGATCAGTGTATCATTTTAATGGTAGGTTTATTTGAACAGTGAGAGACAGAATAACAAAAAAATCCAGAAAAACGCATGTCAAAAATGTTATAAATTGATTTGCATTTTAATGAGGGAAATAAGTATTTGACCCCTCTGCAAAACATGACTTAGTACTTGGTGGCAAAACCCTTGTGAGCAATCGCAGAGGTCAGACGTTTCTTGTAGTTGGCCACCAGGTTTGCACACATCTCAGGAGGGATTTTGTCCCACTCCTTTTTGCAGATCTTCTCCAAGTCATTAAGGTTTCGAGGCTGACGTTTGGCAACTCGAACCTTCAGCTCCCTCCACAGATTTTCTATGGGATTAAGGTCTGGAGACTGGCTAGGCCACTCCAGGACCTTAATGTGCTTCTTCTTGAGCCACTCCTTTGTTGCCTTGGCCGTGTGTTTTGGGTCATTGTCATGCGGGAATACCCATCCACGACCCATTTTCAATGCCCTGGCTGAGGGAAGGAGGTTCTCACCCAAGATTTGACGGTACATGGCCCCGTCCATCATCCCTTTGATGCGGTGTTGTTGTCCTGTCCCCTTAGCAGAAAAACACCCCCAAAGCATAGTGTTTCCACCTCCATGTTTGACGGTGGGGATGGTGTTCTTGGGGTCATAGGCAGCATTCCTCCTCCAAACACGGCGAGTTGAGTTGATGCCAAAGAGCTCAATTTTGGTCTCATCTGACCACAACACTTTCACCCAGTTGTCCTCTGAATCATTCAGATGTTCATTGGCAAACTTCAGACGGGCATGTATGTGCTTTCTTGAGCAGGGGGACCTTGCGGGCGCTGCAGGATTTTAGTCCTTCACGGCATAGTGTGTTACAAATTGTTTTCTTGGTGACTATGGTCCCAGCTGCCTTGAGATCATTGACAAGATCCTCCTGTGTAGTTCTGGGCTGATTACTTACCGTTCTCATGATCATTGCAACTCCACGAGGTGAGATCTTGCATGGAGCCCCAGGCCGATTGAACCATCAGGTCTCTTTTTAATTAGGACATCCAAAAAAGGTAGCTTGCCATCTTTTTCGACTTGCATGGTAAATCTGATGGCTGGGTGTATGGAATTGATGTGGTCGAAGAATTGGTCCTGTTGTCACCTCACCAAGCTGCTTGGCAATGGTCTTGTAGCCCATTCCAACTTTGTGTAGGTCTACAATCTTGTCCCTGACATCCTTGGAGAGCTCTTTGGTCTTGGCCATGGTGGAGAGTTTGGAATCTGATTGATTGATTGCTTCTGTGGACAGGTGTCTTTTATACAGTTAACAAGCTGAGATTAGGAGCACTCCCTTTAAGAGTGTGCTCCTAATCTCAGCTCGTTACCTGTATAAAAGACACCTGGGAGCCAGAAATCTGTCTGATTGAGAGGAGGTCAAATACTTATTTCCCTCATTAAAATGCAAATCAATTTATAACATTTTTGACATGCGTTTTTCTGGATTTTTTTGTTGTTATTCTGTCTCTCACTGTTCAAATAAACCTACCATTAAAATTAATGACTGATCATTTATTTGTCAGTGGGCAAACGTACAAAATCAGCAGGGGATCAAATACTTTTTTCCTTCACTGTAAGTATTTTACTCAAGAGTGAGACGGATAAGGTTGGCCTGTGTTGTGCCCTTGTGAGAAATAAAAAAAGTACCATCTACACGACGTGTCGCGGAAGTCGCTCATTACACAAGCAAGCAGCAGGAGCATGGTCACTGGGTAGTGATGCAGCTGTGGCTGGAGATGGTATCAGCTACTTAACATTTATTGGTATGCTGAAGATTTACAATTTCAATATAGCCATATATGAAATGCATGCTAAATATGTGTAGTGACTGACTTGGAGACAATTATTTAATTAAACACCGAGCACACTTTGTACACTTTATACAATACACACCCAACACTGTTACACACTCTCTGTTTCTCGCTTATACGCAACTCTACACTGGTTACTAGCCTACACACAAGGCTAGCCGTCTGACACTGACGGCGCTGAACCGAGACAGCCAACTACGTCTAGCAGCGCAATTATCAAGTG